GCTATATGAATAGCTGTTAAGAAACTGCCATCGGAATTGATTTTATTTATTCAGACGCACCTAATTAAACCTTGTATGAAGTTCAAAAGTAAATAAATCAGTATGCAGATAATTCAGACAGTGCTAAATATATTGCTATAATTAATACTCTCCCACAGAGGATATAATTATTAATGACCGTTAATTATACCTCCTATTCTGGATTTTAATATACAAAATAAAATCATTTTTATAAGATAATCACTCAGAGGGATTCCTTGTAGACAATTTTAATTTAATTGTTTTATTAATTTATGTTGTAAAAAATATAACAATAAAAAAATAAAAAAAAAATCCGTTTTGATATTATCCTGAAGGTTTATTATTTTGACGGGAAACCTTTTTATTATTGGAAGCCGCAGTAAGGTTAGGCAGTGCTAATGGAAGTCGCAACAATTTTGTATACTTACTGTTGCTATTTTTATTGATCACTAAATGCACTCTCTCGTATGCATATATTTAATTTAATTGTATTAATTTTTATCGCTTATAGGATTAATAAATATCGCGCAACAACGTTTAGTTACTGTTTTATTATTATTAGTTATTTTGCAATCTGCTCGGCTATCCCATTTCCTATCTTGCTAAAAAAAAAATTAAAAAATTGAATATTGATTATAATTAAAAAGTAATTTTCTGTTCTGTTATAAGTCACATTGTAAAATTTACGATCGGTTTCTGCCAAGTTGAGTAAGGCATATTCCTAGAATAATTACTTAAATTTAAGCTTTTTTTTAGCATTTATAAACCTTTGAATTTTAATGCTAATAAGCTATTGCTAAATCCGTGCATGACTAAGAAGACATCATGGCATTTATGTTAACCGGCAGTTTGTGTTAAGTGCAATGATGACCAGCTATAGAACTAAGGAGGAAACGCTTAGAGGCCTTGAGCTCACTGCTATGTTTAGAATTTAGTCATACACCGACCTACGTGCCTTTTTTTATTTCTCTCATACGGGCGCGCCATTTTGAAAAAAAAATAAAATAATTTTTTGGAAGTCAACTCACGATTTCGGTGTCTAGATATTACAGCTGAGGATTTATGTTAATCTCCTTGAAAGAAATTTAATACAATTCACGAATTGTAATTTTCAATTTACATCCTCTTCATGATTATACTTTGATAAGGGCCCATTGTTTTATGGGGGTCATGGACCGCTAATGGGCCGCTCAAGATTGCTTTGTTGTTAAATACAGGAAGGACAAACCCATGTTGCCATTTATATTTGTTTAAATTTATTTATTTTTATCCCTTATTTAATTAACCGTCTTATGACAGTTGAAAATACTATTTTTCTAGTAAAAAAAATATTACAAATCTTAAATATTTTTTAAGAGTCTTAGAGATAATTTTTATAATTATTCAATGATCAAAATTGATTTCAATATAGTACAATAAACCATTATTATTTTTTTTTAACTTTTTTAACTTGTTGGAAACAAAAAAATAAGCTAAGATGGTTTATTATATTATTTAAGTTGTTGTTACAGTATATTTAATATTAGTTTAATTAAAGCTTTAATTGCAGTAAGGATTATTATTATATGCTGAATAAAATGGATTTTTTTTTATACATGAGCCTTTCAGTTGACAGAATGACTAACTCCTATTTCAACATTTCTGAGTGGTCATTTTAGTGTTATTTCTAGCTGGACAAATTATAATATCAGACAGTACGTTGATTCCACATTAGGCGATTGAAGTATTTACATACAGAATTCCGAATGAAGGCATTAATTTACCTACTAGAAATATCACTAAATTTAATAATCAAAAATATTGAAATTTGTTTTCTGTCATTCTGTCAACTGAAATGCTCATATAGTTTATTTGTTGGCTTGTAATATAATCCACTCTGTTGAAGGCAAATATGTAATAGCGGTAAATGTTCAAATTCATACCCTATTTAAAAGTACAATTAATGAATAGAAAAAGTAAAATGAATTAAAAAAGTAAAATTATTATAAAATCAAAACTAAGACATTATAATAATAATAACAATTAAATATAAACTCTAAATTCACGTTGATACTTTATTTACTGTATTAATTTAAAATGTTAAAAACTCATGCTCTAAACTACTTTAAAACAATATAATTTCAATTACAATAAAAAAAGTAATTCAAAACTAAATTAAAATTATGAATTAATTACGACTTTAGTAATAATTATTATTATCGTTTATTAAAAATTATATAACCTCATTAGGAGTATTTTAACTTTTAATTTTAAGATTTTACACCTAATTAGATATTAGAGAAGCCTAATAATTAGTTTGTTTTGGCTTTGAGATGTGAAATGGCTCATCAAAACCAAGTGGCTGCTATTAAATTTATGAAAGCATTATTTTATAGGGACGATTATAGAGGACATCAAAGACTCCATGGAACTATATGTTTCACTAATTGTCAAGGAATGATTTGACTTGCATTCATTTAAGAGGAAGACAGTAAATCTAATTGAATGAAGCAATTTTTTAATGTTTACATTGGTTTTTATGACACTAATTATTAATTATATGCGGATTGTTCTTTGATTATTATAAAATTATGAACTATTCTTGACGAAATTGTATTTTTAATTTCTTTCTGAAACCTCTTTAAAAGCGAAATACTCAAAACAACGGAGAAGTTGTTCATAATTGCTATTACTCAATTTGTTTATGTAGTTTTATCTTATTATTTTAAACAACAATTTGAAAGTAATAGATTTATTCAAGTTGGAATTAACTTTTCCAGTTTTAGGTAAAAATGCCATATTTTAAATTTTTTCTAAAAATTTCAGTATAAATGTAAAGTGTAAGGTCTGTTGTTATTTATAAAAACCTACTTTTGTTTTAAAAAATCTATTAACAAAATATAGAAAAATTAATGAAAATTCACTATTTTTTTCTTATACAAACCTAATTTTTAATCTTATTGCGGAACCTTAAATTTCAAATATATAACAGCAAAATTTAGTATTTTTTTTTTTTTAATATAAAAAAGCAACTTTTGAATGCTATTAGAAAGTTGTCCGCCGAAAAAAGTGTTGTTCATTCCACCGTAGTGAGCATGTTTGACCGGCTATCCTTCCGTAATTATAATAATTTAAAAAATGTGAGTTAATAACTTTTGTTATCCTTAAAATTGTTTACTCTGATCTAAGTTGTATATAAGACCGTTTGCTGAAATCCAGAATTATGTTCGTTATTAAACACAACATACTCCAAACTCCGGAATGATCCTGGAACTAGTATTAGGGTAAAAGCCGATCTTATGGGAAGTAAGGACGGTTCTTCCATAGGATGTAAGAGGCCCCCAGGGGTTTAGTTATTGGCCTGCTAGGGATAGAACTTTCCCAATAACGACTGCATTATACAGGACCCGGTCTTCGCTCACGAGTCGCTTCCAAAAACACTTTTCTCGTTTTATAGCTGATTGCCAAACCCAAAGTTTTTTTCCCCTCTCCTTTTTTTTTTTAGTTGCAATATCTTCCCTATCTAACTCCTTTATTTACAATTTTGTTATTGAAACCGTTGCCAGGCCTCCTTGCAGTTCGGAACAACTTTAAAGAAAGTTAGCTCAAAGGTAGTCTGATTGGAGGGGATACCAAATTTTCATTGATTATCGGAGGAGGAGTGTTCGCGAAGGGTCGTAGACGAAGTTATCAACTTTGTTATCTAATCTAGTCCTGCCCTTTTGAAACTGAGCGGGAAACTGAACAAAAGGAGAGTGTAATTAAGGATAGGTTTGCTGTACTAACTAGAGGAAACAATACAATACAGTCACCGTTGTATAGTCCCTGAAATGCAGATACCAACCATTCTCTTGTTTACGAATGTTGTTTCTATCTACATAATCATTTAAAAAACCTTTCCATGTGAAACTTTGAAACATATATTATCAGTGTTCTATATAAAGGGCGACTTCGACAATCGACTACTTTTCAGGAAAGCATATTAAAAAACACATTTTGCAAAGTGATCTTTTCACCATAGTTACATGTGACGATTTACATCGACCATATGAAACTTACAGACCTCTCATTTTTATTGATCAGCTCCGTAAAAGGGAGGGACTTTACAGCTTGAGAGTGATATTACTCCAAAACTAGAATAATTTTTTTGACTTCAACAATAACTAATGAAATCATAAACCTAGGAGTAGCTTCCCTTTGAACTTAGTTAACTAAGAAACCGAAAATTGTTCCTGTAAGCTGGAATCAAGTAATTCCAGTTTTGGAGCAATGTCATGAGATGAAATGTTACTCCCGTTTTACGGTACTATTTATGTTATGTTTTAATTTTCATAATAGGTTTTGAAATATGTAATTTATGTCAATATAATTAACATAAATGCCACTTATATTCTTGGGCTGAAGGATCGCGTTGGGGGATTTAAATCAAATGAGAGTCGGTAAATCCATCAAGAATCTTCAACTTGGGTTGTATTTATGGAGTAAAACACCCCTATTTGTTATCGATCACCGCCACATTTTAGAGTATCTCATCTATTAATGAAGGCTTTCAGTTTTCTCCCTTTGCTGAATGAAATACATTTACCTCACTTTTTTACCTGATATTTCTGGAAGCCTTCTAATCTCATTTTTGTAGTTTTTATTCCTACTTTTGTAAAAGATTTTCGCATTTTTGTATTTATTATTAATTTGTTGTTTTGTTTGTGTGTTTCAGAGGCGCCATACCCCGCTGTAGGCGAACCCCAAAGGATGCGTTAGAGCCCAGAAGTGATAGGCAGTCCCTGATGACCTAAGATCCCGCATACCGACCCTACACACCCTCACCCTTACCTGTCACTATATCTCACACTATCACTCTCCGTCGTCTAGTCTTATCTCTTCCTCTCTAAACGTACTTCAAGTACAAACCCATCCTAACACGTACACGACACACTACACTCACACACTCACACTATTTGTGTATTTTCCTTGATTGCCAGTTATAAAGAGCAACCGTGATCATGGCAATGGTAAACATGAACAACCTGCTCAACGGGAAAGACTCCCGCTGGTTGCAGCTGGAAGTCTGCCGGGAGTTCCAGAGGAACAAATGCTCCAGGCCGGACACGGAGTGTAAATTTGCGCACCCACCGGCCAATGTTGAGGTGCAGAATGGACGGGTCACCGCCTGCTACGATAGTATTAAGGTAGGTCTACAAGATTAATTAAAATAGTATTAATTATTTATTTTACAAATGGTTTCAATTTTTTATTTTCTAGCCTCATTCAAGTTGTTTCTGTTACTCCTCAAAAGTTATATTAAAACTAGAACGGGACAATATAAATCAACTTTTATGAAAATTAATAAAATAACATTTCATAGGTTGGTACTTCAATTTAAAATCAATAATATTATTTATATAATATGGTTATAAAAAAAACAAAAACAAGATAAATATTTTTTATTGTACCAGCCCCCAACTGCATCTTCAGCGCTACAACATAAAACAAAATAATAATAATGTATATAATAAGGACGCTAATAGTATTACGATTTAAAATTATAATTACATAACTTAATGGAAATAATTATTTGTTGTCTGTTCAAAGATTTTCATAGATGAGTTTGAGCTAAGAAACATTTTTTAAAGACTTAGTATTTTTTTATCTTAAGTAGATATTGATTATTATTTACTGGTATTGCTATAATTTATTAATTAATTGCTTATAATCCTTAACATGGTGGCTATTATGTCTTAATTTCTAAAGTTAGAGAAACGTTTTTCGTAAAATTTGTCTTCTGCGACTTAAAGCTTCTAATTTGAAACATTCTGAACACCATTTTAATAAATTTAATAAAAGTATATTACTACTGTAAATTTTAATTTATTTATTCTTTACATTTACTGAAAATGTCTATTAAAACATTAAACTGTTTTATAAAGAAAACTGTAATCATTTTGTATTTTCTTGTGTACCCGTACAGGTCTGGATTAATTTTGAACAATGTTTATATGTATATAGAAGAAATTTAATTATTTCCACCACTCTATGTTATTGTGTTAGTTTAATACGAATTCTCTAATTTCAGACATCACCTAAAGAAATTTAAGAAAAAAAAAATTAAAAGTACATTTTAATTTTTGTGAAAATGTCTTTTAACAACGTATTAGCTGTTATTTCAATATTCTGAATATTTAATTTTAACTGAAACAATATATTTATTTTGCGAAATTTATCAGTTTAGATATTCCGCTTAAATAAAAATAGAAATCAATTATTAAAAACTAAAATAGTTTGTCTAGTCGCGATATGCCTAATAGATAAATTTAGAAATCGGTTAGATTATGGTTGCAATAACTGACTTATCACTTTATTTATTTATCGATTATTTGTTTAATAATTCATCAGTCAATATTGGCCTCATCATAATTGTTAGAAAGCAATAGAATATTTGTGTGGTAATTTCCTAAGATAGGACATTAAAATTGTTGATAAACCTTCACGCAATTAATATGGTGTGCACAAACAACGGATCCGCGGTGCTAAACCGAAACTATCCAAGTTATTCCAAACTGTATCAACTCCAAACAAGGTCAGACAGTTTGACTAAATGACTGATTATGTCAGACTTTTCAGATATTAGCTAACTCCTCTTCTTAATAATATTTCCCTATCTCATATTAATAATCGTCAGATATGTTCTAATGTCGAAATACGGGAAATTGCTTTTACATTTTTTTTTTTTAAATTATGTTCGTTAAAATAATATTATTTTCTCGTAATTTTTAATTATTTCTGTTCAGGTTTGAGTAGCGTATTATTTTAATTCTGAATAAGTTACGATTGAAAGAGCATGACCCAGTATTGCGGTCGGTGTAGCGAAAAGAAATTTCGTGGCTCGGTTTTTTCAAGTCTTTGTTATCCGATATCCTAGGCTACTAGCCTTGTTGGTACAAAACTCAACACGACTATTACGCAAACCGCAATTCTATTGTTGAGCCTTTGTTCCTAATTTTTGTGTACTTTTTTAAACTTTCACTCGAGAAAATGAAGTTTCATCTATTCCTTCAACAAAGCAATTCCATAGCTAAAATTGTATTTGTTGAGTATCGTAACATCGTAGGTTTAACACGTTGAGTAACAGCTGAGCTTTACTATTTTATTTGTTAATTAACAAAATGTATTTCAAACAATAAACTGCAGAAACAAATAATTTTATATTCTTCAATGTTTATGAAATATTTCCTCAATTAATATTTATTTTTGTATATTATATATAGTTTTACTGTAAAATGATTTTTATTCCCATCTACAGGTTTTCTATACCATAAATTATTATAATATTATCTATGAACATCTATGAACTATTATTATTACGTTATTTCCTAACACTGAATTATTTATTTTAATTTGTTTATTATCTTTGTATGGGTATTTTATTAATTTTAAAATTATCAAGAAATTGATTTTTCTTCTTTTCATTATATTTTATTGGCTTAAATATTCATTGTATCTTATAGTTTTCTAGTTGGTTAGTTTTTTTATTCTTATCCATTTTCAATTTCTGGAAAAAAAAATTATTTATTGTTGCTTTGTTTTTGACATGTTTAATTTTATTTGTGTAATTTATCGAATATTAAAAAAAAAATTTCAATACTATTAAATTTATCTCCTATTTATTTTGTTTTCGCTAAAATTGTTCACTTTATAATCAGTTTTCATATGATTATCTTATTTTATTTTTATCAAAAAGTTGTATTGATTTTTGCAAATGGTAATTTCATCATATATATTATCTGTATAAAACCTCTTTTTTAATTCAATTTATAATATTTTTTCTTGTTATATCATCAAAACGTTTTCAAAGATTTTTCGGGCATTTTCAAATCAATCTAGTTCCTTTTGGTTGTCATTGTAGTTTAAAATCTAATTATAGTTTTCATTTTAGTCTTATAATCTGTTTAAGCGTTATTTTTCCTGATTCATTACTGTCTAAAAATCTACATTTATTTTCAAGCGTAGGCGTCAACATTTACTTTCTGAAGATATAACCATTTGAAAAACGAAACATTCTATTTTAAAGTGTTACTGAGAATACGAGGCTGTCATTTTTATTTTAGACAGAGTTATTGATTTATTATTTTAACGTTACAGTTGAGCTTGTTTGCTAAAAGAAATTCTTCACGGAACATGATGTAATGCGTTGCATAACATAAAAATGAATTTCCAATGACCGTATCTCATTCCTTGACTCAGTTCTTGAGGTCTGTTCGTGCACGACTAAATATTACTTTATCTTTTCTTTTTTTTTTTTATTATTAAATTTAGCATATGCTAAATATAAACATGACAGTTAGCATTTCGTTGGAAGGTGCATTGTACCAGATGGTTACCCAGTCTGGGTACACTATCTATCTAGATTTCTCAAGACACTATTCGTCACATCCGACACGAGACTAATGAATTTAATTAAATGGGGTAGTTCACCGAAGACATCGGTACCCATTTTCGGACCCATTCTCGTGCTAACGAGGAGTAATATCTAACCATAAATGGCCTGACATCTGATTTATTTACGAAATCATTGGATCCAGTCCCTGATGGACCTTAATGGCCTAGGGAGTGTAACGCTTCCGGTTGCATCACTTCTGTGACATAAATGTCAGAGCCAACCCTCCCCCCTTCTTGTAATGTCAAAATGACACGTATTTGGTCTTAGCTGTCTTCATTAATGCAGTGCTTTACACAACATCTTGAATGCATTGTCTATTCAATAACAAACATTAATACTTTTAATATAAATATTATGGGTTGTTATTATAATTTATTATAGAATATTTTCTCATTTTTTATTTTTTTTTTCAAAATCATTAAAAAACAAAAGGATGTACAAATGGCACCGCTTCCATAAATAAACAAACATATTTACAAACCTATTAATATTTACAAACCTTAAAAATGGACAATCATTAGCTTAAAGATTAGTACAAAAATAACAGTGTTTTTTAATTTTGTTAACATTTTCTATAATTTTTAAGAAATTTTAAATGCCTGTTAAACATATTATTTATCATAATTTAGTGGAAGGAAAAGAAAACGTCAGCCCATTTGGTAACTCAGCAATATAATAAACTGTGCTAGTTTGAAAATAATATAATGGTAATCTGCTAGTAACTAATGGTCTATCATGCTTAAGTAGCAGTCAAGGTTAGCGGTTTAACAAAATAACATAATATTAATCTGTTTAACTGCCTATTCTATGGACAAAACGTGATATATTACTGCATTTTTTAAAAAAGGAATAACAGAATCAGTTAAGTCCAAATTTTCCTAAAAATTATTTAAATATTTTTTTCAAATAGACTATAAAGCTGTTTATATTGGCTATTTTATATTTAAATACAATTCATATTTCTGTTAGAGGATTTCTAACAGATATAATTTCATGAAAACATTGAGAAAAATCGTATGGACCCAAAAAAGGAAAATATTGACGATAATACTTTTTACTTAACCTTTTTTAAAGGAGTTATTTTCTATGATTTATGGTCTTAAAAAAATTATCATCTTTTGATTTTCTTGCATAGCCTAGCTAGACCATGCTCTAATAAGATTTTATTTATTAAGCATTAATAATATCGATTAATCATTTTATAATGATAAATAATAATGATAATAATAAATAAATATATAATTCATGACATTGGCTGTACATCAAAAACTGATTTTCCCGTAGATTTTATTCTCAAACGAAAAATTGTTGACAGTAAGTAATAGGTACTTATACACCCAATAAAAATAGAGAGGATATCATACAGAACTTACTTAGCCGTGCCGGCCTTAGACATTCGGCGCACCCCAGGTAATCCTGAAATTCTCTCTCTCCCCTCCCCCTAAGAAAATTAAATTTATTTCTTAAGCTGTTTTATATTATGTAATATTTGAATTTTATAAAAATTAATTATATTAATAAGTTTTGTATTTCTTTAATAATTTGTAACTAGTGAAAAGCAGCCCTGAAGTTCGGTAGGTGCCCCCAACAGGCGCCCCTCCAGGCTGCTACTTGGCGTTGTTTTTTAAAACAATAATCTAGTTGAGGCTTTAGATCGAAAAATACAGAGTTAAAAAAAAAATCCTGAATTCAGTTTCGCTTCGAAAAATCCAACTAACTCTTTGAAAAGGTGAAATGAACCATTTCATAAATAATTCATGTTTTTTTCCAGCCATTTTGTATTTCCTCTTTCAGAATTGAGCCCTCCACTAATGATAAGGCACCTGATGAAGATTAGCATAGGCAGTGTGTACGGAATATTTTTACATCTTCTGGGGCCTTATCGTACAGTCAGCTCCCAACAGCCCAGTCAGCGAATAAATTACTCCAATTTATCAGGAGATTAAATAAATTAGGAAAATCGTTATCAGGGTAATGCCGCCTGAAAGTCAGCCGCGCAATTAACCCCTACCATGGTATCAGTGTTCATGAAAATTGATAAGCCCGCCTAACCTAGGCCGTAATGAAGTCTGTGGTATCTTGAAATGTACTAACTCGATGGGTTAATTAATTTATAGGCTGTTAATTATTTGCATTCGTTACGTAAAGTAATTAGTAATTAACGTCGATGTAACTATGGGATTGTACGCTAAATATTATACAATGTGCAAACACGTCTATTGTGATGATTAGCGTCGAAAATTAATGTTGAAACCGTTTGAATACCTTAATGGTTAGTTATGGATTAAAATTCATACTTACTTGTCAATTATTCTTGATTCTAATAAATATTAAATTTAAAAAATTCATAATAATTATTGAAAAAAAATACTTCATACTCCATTTTTCTTACTATTAAAATTTATTAACCATATGTATATTTTTTTTTTTCAGAATATAATCACCCTTATTATCGAATCATTCTATTCATCTGTCATTAACAACGTTTCGAGCCACATTCGTTATCAAGTTACCCTAAAGTAGTCACATTTTTTTTTCTTTTTTCATTATTTCTCACAACAATATAACAGTGGTATTAATAGTCCATTGAAAGTAATGAACTCGGAAGGACTGACTAATATCATTAATTGAGCCTTTCAGTTGACAGAATGACTAACTCCTGTTTCAACATTTTTACTTTACTCAGAAACGTTGAAATTAGAGTTAGTCATTCTGTCAACGGAAAGGCTCAATTAATCTACAAGAATTTTATTAAATTCAAAATAATTTTTTTTTTTATATCATGAATTGTAAATTTATTTTTTGGATTGTTGGTGAAACATAATTTTATAAAGAAACAAACCTGGCAACTTACTTGATAATGAATCAGCGTGGCTCGAAACGTTAGTAAAAAATCATTTTAAAAGATGTTTTTATTTTATATACATTATGACTTTTCGGCTTTAATGACATTTTCAATTATTTTAAAACAGAACATTAGTCATAAAAAAAATCATTATAAAATTATTTAGTATAGTACTCTATGATTGTACTCGTTATGGTGAAATTATACATTTATTTATTTCATTTTTTACTATATATCACAATTATTTTAAATTTTGTATTTATCTTGGTAATAACAGCTTTCCTTATTAGCATTTTATTTGTTGGTTTTCAGGCAGATTTTAATTAATCATCTTCCAAAATAAACTCATATCACTTTAAAATATGTAGCTCCATTACACCTTACAGTCTAGTTGTACCTTTAAAAAAAAAAAAGCCCATTAATGTTAACAAATATTGCCAATTAATTTAAAAAAATATAATATTATTCTACTATTATCCATGGTGAATATTTTTAATTACGAACGTGTCTTAAAAAACCATCTAAGTTCATAGAAACACATTTTACAAAAGGAAATAAAAAACTGTATTCTTTCTCTTTATGTATTGAAAATAAAATTAAAAAAATAAAATAAAATAAAAGAAGCCATACAATATTGAAATAATTTTGTGAGTATTAGTTGCTTCAGCAAAATGGACATATAAGTTTTTAGAAGTAAACCGTCGATAAATACTTTTTTTTTTTTTTTAATTTCTACCTTTTTCTAAAAGCAATCTTGTTATAATTATTGGAACAATATTATTGGGATAGCAAACACTATTAACAGACATTTCAGAAAATATCGTGTAGCTTGTTTGTTGCCAGTAATTGGATGGATACCTCTGTTAGTAACGGTTGGGCGAAACTTGTTTTTGCAGTGAAAAGAACTATTTTTACCGCTAGGGGAATTTATCGTAGTGTTTTATCACAGAACCAACATTTCAGTTGTTTCTTATTTAATTGCTATATGAATCAAAAGTAATTTATATATCTATTTATTACAGTTCATTATGAGTTTGTTCAACTTAATTTTTAATTTCAATTTCTGTGTAACCGTTACTAAGAATTCACTTTTCATGATTTCTTGAATAATGGCGACTTTTTTAAATTGTATTTTATGGAAGTTATAACCCATTGATTGCCGTTCTAATGGTTTTGGAAATAGTACTTATTTGATTTGGAGTATAATGCGTAAATTCGAATTTGATAACTCATCGTTGAAATACATTCATTTTTTATTTTAATCTTCACAACATAAATCATTATTAAAATATTTTTTATTTATATGTACTGTTAAAAAATGTGCATTTATAGTTTGCTGCGCAGAACTGCCTGCAGGTAGCCAAGCGTTCATAATTTGTTTATCCGAACAAAGATAATTGAAATGGATCTTCATTAATCAGCTTCATTTAGGAGAGAACGATGATTAGTCTTCTAAGCGTTAAATATGAAAAGCCGTCACATGTTTTCTGTTGACAAGAATAGAAGATGTATTCATTACACTGAGTTATATCGGGTTTGTAGTGAGCCCCTCAAACATCACTTTATACGCTGATGATGTGAGTTCGTTCTGTTTTGGCTGTTGAAGTGAGATGTGGTCATCTCTGGTCTCCATAGTCCGTCTAGTTATGTTTTTTATATGTTAATTTTTTTTTATTGGCGACATCAAGTAATTAAAAATCTAGGACCAACACAAATAAATAGGTGCCCTCTCTCACTTTAATATTATAACCTACAAATATGCATTTGAGTAGAGAACGGCTGGGAGCTCCATGCTTAGAGTTTGATGGGTATATACATAATAAATAATATTAGTTTAAAAATTAATCACACTCTTCGAAATCATTGGTATTTCTATGCATTTCTGAAGAAAATAATATACACTGTTTTATTTCTTTAATGTTTGAATAATACAATGAAATCAGATTGGATCATAGCCAGACAGCTCTTGCGGAAAAATTGTATTATTTTCCTGTTTGAAGAAAGCGAACCCGTATTCCCCAGACTAGAAAAAGGAAAAAAAAAAAAAAAAAAAAAAAAAGAAAACCACAGAGGTTGTGGGTTACGAATTAAATGTTATCAGAGAATGAAGATAAGGCCGCGTGGCAACAGACCAAGGCCAGGACATCACCTTCAGCTGCTCCTAGTCTACCGTAACTCTTTCATGTCTGCCGCTGCAACATTGTCTTCTCCACGCATGTCTCTCTTGAGGAATGCAACATACCAAAAAAAAAAAAATATACACATATTTGACTTTACTAATCATTATAAAACCAGTATCAGTCCTTACCATTATTAGAAAACCCGATTTCAACGAGATATCAATACACAACTCGAACTTAATAACTTATATGAAGCCATGATTATTTTTCATAAATTTAGGCGCAAAATAATTTTAGAATATTTTTCTGATACATTTAAATTTTAAAAAAAATATTAACAAACATATCTAATTTTGAAAACTAGAAAGCTTAAGATAGAATTTTCAGACATATATATTTTAATTCATTCGAATATATCGAAAAACATGCAACCGTGAAGCATGCAAATATTCAGAAATAAAAATAGTAAATAAGTTGCTTGAAACATTTCATGTTATCTATATTATTTTTTAAAAAGTTGAGCCGATATCGAAATTTCGTAAATTAAAAATACCTTTTCGTTCGATTAACAAAGTTTTTACTTGTATACATTATTCATTAACATTAAAATTATTCATTGTATTCATTAACATTATCTCTGCCTTTATTAACGAAAAACTATGAACGCTTGGCTGGAGGTATGCCTCATCATATTCTACCCAACAGATCTACAATAAGTCACATGATAAAAAATTAAGCAATGGAAAGGGTTATTTTTATATTTCGATTTTGATAAATGCCATGAATTTGCTAAACTCACATCGTAGACTGACACAATTCAACATTAACAAAAAGATATTCGATATTTATAGACATATTGCTAACCTGAACTGATTTAGCAAACTTTGTTTCAACTCAATAACCAAATCGATATTATCACTTTTTAAAATTTGAAATTATACTAGCATGTGTAGTAACTATTATATAATGATATCTACTTGTATATGTTGAACTGTTTTCGTACCATTTTGATTTGATTTATCTATTTGAGGTTTTAAAGCGATATGTGTTGCTATCTTCCGTACCAAGGGGATCTTGTGGTTTTGAGTCCTTATGATGCCTGAATTTGCGAAACGTTGATTGATTTGTTATGTACTACTATTTGATACATTCGATGTTTTATTTTTGGAATCTACCATTTCATTGATTGGTTTTATGGTGTGTTCCTTCTACGAATTTGCCTACCTAATAACACGTTTCTCTCGTTTTTTTTCCTCTATTTCTTGTTTTAAATTCTTTTCGAGATCCCAATACATTTACATAACGAACCCTACCCCAAGATGTGAAGCAGAGAACCCAGATGCTGAGAATATTATGCAGTTAGTGATTTGCCGAGGGCTGTGGGAGCGAGGCTGGGCAAACAAAGCACTCGCAGGGTTTCGTGGGAGGGGGGCCGGCCCAAACCGGTTCTGCTAAGGACTTCACGACTGCTTAGCTTCCTCCTAATCCCTAGCACTTGCTAACTTCGCCTCTCCTTCACCTTCATCCTCCAGCTATCTCACTCCTTCACAGGCAAGGGTTCTTATGTGTGTTGGCCTCAGGAGCCTCTCTCAATGGCTCACATAACTTTGCGGATGAACTTAATACATTCAGGAACTTCTTTTATAATGTATCGAATCTTATTTAGTAAAATAATAGCAGAAATAAATACTAATTATTAGTGTTACCCAAAATCGGTTCACTTTGTAAGACAAATATCAACACCTAATTGTTGCAAGACCAAGACCAAGACAGATGAAAAAAAAAAAGCGTTTCTGTAAATCCAAATTAAGGCAAAATAGTTTCTAACACAAACCAATTTTAGTTACTATGTGTAAAGAATTGGTGGAACCAACATACCGTAGCATTTAACTCTTCCAATTTTTCATCCGGGGTTTAGTTACATCCCCCATTCTGAAAAATAACAGTAATACCTTGTACGAGTATATGTTGTAACATTTTTTAAAAAGTTATTAAATTCTGACAAAACTATAAAAAAAAATCGTCATAACCGAACCAGTTTTAGCATCGTTACAGTGTATTGAATTTTATACACTGATTTTAATAATTGTCCACGAGTCGGTTTAGAACCCTTTGGTTCATCAAAGAAATCGTACTCTAATGATTTCTTTGATCGATTATCAAGAAAATTAGTCTAATTCCATTGTGTTGTTCTGATTGAACATATTTAGAATTGACAAAAAAAAAGGGAAAATCGGTAGGAAAGTCATGTGTGTGGACACACCAGATGTTTTATTTAAATAATTGGTGAGATTGTATAGATTTTCTTTACTCTACAACTCTTCCATTCCATGGGGCCTATATTTATTGACTTTATCACACTATATTTAGTTGCCTTTAATGTTATTTCATTTAAAGTTAATTTTAATAAACTATTGTTTATTAATAAACTATTGCCAAACTATTGTTTGACTTGAGTAAAGGAAAAGAACTTGGTAATTCTATATCTTTTTTTTTTTTTAAGTAAAACTTTATTTTTCTTTATTTTAAAAATTGTATTTTTTTAATGATAATTTTTTACTTGACTGTAACTGATTCAAATTTTTCTCGTATTATTATTATTAAAAAATATAATAAAGATTTACTATTTTTTTTGTTATTTGTGGATCAAATTTTATAAAATAGCTGAATAAAGGGAAATAATTATAATTTAAAGCAGATACAGTATTTCTATAATTATGCTATGTTAATTACCTTACCAAATCATGATGGTCGTCCTATTCGTTATTAATAATGTAAATAATTTATATGGATATAAAGTCAATATGTCGTAAATATCCAACTTATTTCTGATATTTCATTAAACGTCATTAGGTCGGTGAATACAAAAATAGTATGTACCAACATGATATTACATTGTATGAATTTAGTTATGAAGCATTGAAATTTTGAACTCTGGTTCGACTACATTCATCAAGCAAGTTATTTACGTCCTGGTTTCTATTTTAATTGCAAATTGAGGATTTGAAATTGTAATTTTCTCGGTTACGAGTTTATGATTGAGTGCTATTAATTTCCGTGGTGTTTTGAGTATCGTGTTCGCATCCTCAATTTTTTTTTTTTTTGTTTAGCATAGTGCAGTCTTTGCACCAAGGTCATGTATTCATACACTCACATATAACATGCAGTGCATAGTTACATGTAAGTATTATTTAAATTAATTAACCTTGTATGCTTAGTTATTTCCTGTATAGATATATATATTATTTTTGGAAAGGCTGGGTTAACTTATTGGTGTCAACTAAATTGTCTTTTTTTATCAAAATTTAAGCTATAAAAAGAGAAAGAAATAAAGGTATGATATAATAGGAAATCTAATCAGTAAATGATTAAATAACGAATTTTATGAGGCATACTAAAGATAAAAAAAATATCGATAATTAACCTGATTACGAATTTTGATTTATTTATGATTGTATCATGCGCGGTATTTGTTTAATATCAATATTAAAAGTTGAAAATAAAAGACATGTAGTTGTTCAAGCCTTTAATTAATACAGCACATTTAAATATTGTTGTTCTCAAGTAAATATGAAATATGAATAGCAGATACAGAAAGGAGATATAAATTTTATGAATTCAGTTCAGATTTTTTAATTTTATTTCTGTATGATTATTATTAGTCAATTTTCATTTTTATCATAATGATTTTGATTCCATTTAACTGTGTCCCTTTAAATAAAAATTTAAATCTGCGGAATAGCTAAAAAGACTCCGATTAAAAAAATTCAGACTTCCAAATAAAAATTTTTAAGACATCACGCATCTGGTATCAAAATTACACACATGCTTGTACATCCCACGGTATAAGATCTCATACGTACATCATATAAAAAATTTCATGTCAATCGTCATGGACATACCAACAAACGTATAGTGTGGCCATAACACCTGTGTCAAAGAATACCTAACGTAGGCTGAAAAGGAGCTGGTTAAGAAATCTATTTATCTGAGTGAGTGTATAGAGTAAAAAAAAAATACCCCGTTATTGATTATTTCGAACGTGACGCGTTTCGGTGAAATCACCCTACCAGGTGTGATAACTACCTCACGTGGCCCGAAACCGTATGGGGTTGCTCGGGGTCATAGGGTAATAGCTCTCAAAGAAATATGTTTTCAACGTTGCATTGAATGATCATTTTCAACGCCTGACCCCGGAACACCCGCCGTGTGTTACTTGATTTCCTTACAGGGCTCATAGGTCAGGTTTGTGAGGCCATTATGTCGGAGGAGGGTTCGGCTTGCTACACAATGGCCAGTGTACACAGTGTACGCTAGCAACACTTTGTTGCAGTGTGGATCTGCCCTGAAATAAAATGCGTTCTAAGCAGCCCTTTGTGTACCTTTTCCCATTGTCCCTCCGAGTACGGGATATTATCCTCCGACTGAGATTAAAGACACAATTAGTAGACGGGCGAGTACAGAGCAATCGAGTGAGTGCTGTCCCAGGACGCTCCACATAAATCTCCCTGATCCCGATTCAAGACTCTACCCCTCTCTCTCTATCCCTCCCTCCCCGCTCCTCCCATCCTCCCAAACTCCCTCGAATTCCTCTCGTTATTGCTGGAATTCCTCCCATCTCTTGCCGAAGGCGAAATTTAAATGGACTTCTTTTAATTTCAATTCCTTCCTTGGTGGAATTCCAATTCATCAGATGGCAAAATAAACTGTTTGAATCAGTCAGACTGAAGTGTAAATCTCTAGGGACGGGTCTCTTGTTACTCCTAAAAAAAAAACGGAAATTAAAGCACTCGTGTATCTTGTCACGTATTCAGAAGTTTACAAAAGCATTATTTACTCCTGAAAACTGAAATGAATCATTTGGTATTCTATATTTTCAGCGTATTACTGTTATATTATTCAGATTTAAAATTTAGTTTACTTTATTTGTTTGCTTTCTACAGTTAATCTAAAGTTTTTTTCCAATATGTTATTTATGAAAATTAATCTCTATATTGCTCCAAAATGATTTTTTATCTGGGTTTGTAAGATTTTTAACTATTCATTGTGAGTTGGGATATACACGAGTGTATCTTCGAATTCTTTATTCTATACATTCCTCCTGATGTAGGAACTTTTTTTTTATCTTACCACAAGCCGCAAATGAAGATAGGGGGAAAAATCTGTAGGATGTGGGAGTGAAGAAAAAAAACTTTGACTTTTTTTCATAACTAAACCTCTTCCTCCACTCCCCCCTCTATTAATTGTGTTCGTAGAAGTTATATTTGATTGATTGATTTTAATTTAATTATGTATTTGCTAATATAAATTTATAAACATTTAAGAAGTCTGTTCACAAAATTAACAATTTTGACGTTGAATATTGAAATTAAATATTGTTGTCGCGACATCCAGTTTGTGAACCTCTTGCGGACATACTGAAACTAGGCAACTGAAATTACTTGTTTAATAATTTCTGAAACAAGTTCTTGCAGTTACTTACAAACCACCTAAAAATATGCAAGTACAAAAAAGTAAATATAATCATAAAAAAGTCTAATAACGATCAGAAGAATATGAATATGAATACATACACTCACTTCCTCTTACCAAGACTACTTGGCAACAATCTTACATGAAGCATGGCCGTAGCACAATTGCCTGTAAAAAAAAAAAGAAAATCGCTGATTGAGGGATATCCTCGATGAAAGCCATTCATAATTCGCAGTTTATGAAACATTACCACCATTCTTGAAAAAAGTATTGAAAGATTTGGGAGGAAAATCCTTCACACGATAAATGGAGCTGTCTGGGATCACATTACTAACACATGGAGAGGAATTATCGGATCAATAAATCTATACAATAATGAATTTATTAACTGTAAGCGAAATATCTGGTGGAAGGCTTAAAACCAGTTGGATGGATGAAATCAACTTGATGGATGCTCCTGAGCTGCATTGAGATATATGGAAAGCCATAGACCAAGATAGGCATGGGTGGAGGAGGCTTAAGATTAAAACTAAAATATCTGTAAAACGTACAGAAATAACAAATATATATGCATAACAGATTTCATCAGTCGATTTCTTATAAATTAAAGAACAAGAAATTCAACGATTTAATGAAATATTTAGTTATCCTGCTGAATGAAATATAATTTAAATATTTTTTACAATAACCTTGGTAAGATCTTGTTTCGAGGTAAATGAAATTATTCCTTAAACAATATAAGCTCTTGCGGTGATTTGAGAAATTGATTAACTACTACGCACATAATGGCTGTAAATAAAACTTAGTAGTACTTTTAAGAATTCTTCGCTTCATGCATAAGAATTCTAACAGACCCTGAACACGACTGCGCAGCCTACCTGACGGTTTGCGGTCCTAACACAAACAGCCCGGCTACAAATCGACCTCAACCTGTGTACAGAGCGGCTTATGGCCTTCTGCCTTATTGACTTTAGGAATTAATGTCGCTATCCAAGCTCTGGGCGTTTCCTACTCCTGTTGGACTTTTTATCGGGAGGGAAAACTAACATTGTCCCCTCGTACTGGGATCCTGCTTCCAATGGAGAGAGGATGGAGGAGGAACTCTGGAATGAGTCCGACTGGAGCGGTGCAATATGAAGTGCAATAGGAGGAGGAATCCAGGAGCGGCGGCAGATATTAGCGCGGCTCGGAATCCAGGCGGGAGTATAATTGCGGATCCTCCACTGGCCGGCCCAATTCCCGCCCCTCCCCCTCCGGGCCCTCGCCAAATTAAATGTCCCTCCAGTCCTATTATTGCTTTTCCCTTCCAGGTCTCTTATGAAGTCGTCTTCTCCCGCATCTTATCGGACACATACTCATATTAGTACCAACTTAAGGCAATATTTTATGATTAAAATTTAAGAACTTTAGCTTTGAGCATTTACTTCTTCATATCTCCAACATTCCCGCCTATAGGTTACTATCAGGTACGATATGGCTTGTACTTTATTCTAAAAATCCTTACCGTTAAATTTGACTTTCATACTTTTATCATACTTCTATAATAAACAAAAATAAATACACCCTTTTAAATTTTTTAAAATTTATTTATATGATATTTACAACTGTATACAAAAAATATATCTGGTAAATTCGCACATGGATATAATGACATCAAACACATGTTGAGAAACTACCCATTGGTAGCACTCTAATAATATGTCTATATTAGGAGATCACGTGGCCATCTTCTTTTCAGACGCCTCGGAGGGTTGTCAGGAATTGAATAGGAAGCAAGGTTAGAAACAAGAGGGTTGGGATGGTTATAAAGTTTATTATGGAAGGACAGATATCTATATTGGGCCAAATCTGATACATAAGGAACATTGGTGGGCGGGGTGGCCGAATGGGCTAAAGCGTGTGCACTGCACCGCCGTTGCCTGGCAACCTGACATATGAATCGAAGATAAAAATAGTCACGAGTTCGCGTCCCGGTGCCGGGGGGGTCTTTTAAATCCCCGCCCACACTCCTTGGCCCGGGAAAATCCCGTATAGCCTTAACGGCGAGGAAGGGAAGGATCAAAAAAAAAAAAACATAAGGAACATTAAGGTCATTATGGATAATTTTATTTGTAACAAAGTAAGGAGCATTGAGGATTTTACGAAGGATTTTGGATTGTAAGGATTGGATGCGAGAGGAATTTGAAGGTTTGGTGGAGCCCCATAGCTCAACTCCGTAAGTCCAAATAGACCTTATTATAGTCATGTAAATGAGTCTTTTATAATTAATTGGAAGGTTAGAGCGTTTGTCTAGTAAGTGTTGAAGTAGTCGGAAACGTCGAGCTGTTTCTTGTCGTTTCAGTCTGGTATGAGGATTCCAAGTTAGACGTTTGTCCAGATGGAGTCCTAGGTCCCTTTTAAATAAAATGAAATAGAATATATTCCTATAAACAATGCATCTAAGTTCTTTTGTTCATAAATCTAAGGCCGTTTGATCATCATTAATTTATTTCTTCTATAACATACAAATTAATGCTAGAAACGACGAGGGGAGAGCCGACATGACAATTTTTTCTCTTATTATTAGTTTAAAAAAATGAATATTAAATATGAAAATGAAGATCTGGGTTGACTATAAATAGATAGAATAAGACTTGAAAATGCCGGCAGTTATTTAAAATATTTCTGTTATAAATTCAATACAGCAATGATGATCAAACGGCCTTAGAAAACTTTTGGACTCTATAAATAGAAATAATGAATATAATATCTTCAGGTAGTTTTTATCTCGTGGATTACAGATACTGCTACATTCCAGGCAAACATCATTATCTTTAAGAACATGGGATCGTTTCATGATAAAACACGTACCCTTCTTTATGAGCTTTGTTGTCTCCGTATTACTCAACCTGCCGTGAATCATCACTCAGGCTTTATCCCAGTTCGTTTTGTAACTTTTTTCTGTTAGAAACCAAGAATGTTTTAGATAGCTCTAAAAATAGCCCCCTCCAGGCGGGATAGGAAGTCTTGTGGTGCGAAGGCTTATGAATTACTCTTTATCTTATCAGTCGCATCCTTGTAAATGTTTGCACACTTCCTATGAGCTTTGAGTCTCTCGTCTGCCATGACAATTTAATTTTCGTAAACGAAGGCATTTCTTTAGAAAAAACGAAACAAAAATCTTAAATTTTCCAAAATTCATTATAATTTTGGTTATTCTACAAATAGAGAGGGATTAATTGAACAAAACTATTTCATTCTTTTTTTTTTAATTTAATTTTTGTATACTAAGATATTTTTAATTTGTTTATAAAAATAAAATAAAATATTTTTGTTTCTGAATTGATAGGGTGGAATTTATTATACAGTCTATTTTTAGAAAATTTAATTTGCTTAATCGAAGGTATTTCCTTTTTTTTTTAACAGTTTTTTAACTGTTTCATTTTTGAAAAATTATTTTAATTTTGGTTGTCTGCAAAAGAGGGTAAAATTTATTAAAGAGAACTACTTTAAAAAAATAATCATTTCTATAAATAATTGGTAAAATTGATTCCTTTTATATCAATTTAGAGTTTTAACACATTTTATCATTATATGTAAATTTGACTAATTAACTAGAAAATTATTATTTGTTTTTAGATAATTTATTATTTCATATTTTCACAACTACAATATTTACAATCGATTCGTGTGTGTACGCTTATACAATCCATTTTTTTATGTTTACAATATATTACAAACTAAACTCATTAAATTCATTGGTAAAAACTGCAAACAGGAAAATTGATCGTTCTCTTCTGTTTATACACTATTTGGGTATTGTCGATTTTTTTTTTCCGCTATGTATAATTTTTTATTTATATAATTTTGACTAAATTGCAGAATCCACATTTGAAAAGTTATCCGTGTTATATAAAAAATTCTTGCATTCGCCTAATCGTAACTTCGTCCCATTTATTATAATATTTTGGCAACAATAAAGTAGATTTTTTAAACCGACATAGGTCATAGCACACGTTACAGAATATCATAAAGTGAATAGTTTTTTGGAAAAATCATTATTTTTTTTTTCATTATAAATAACTCTTTTATTCAAACAGTTATAATAGGAACGAGAATGTATATATTTAATTTATTCATCTTAAAATTTCTTTTATTAATATTATTATTATGTCGCAACGGTTCTGCAAGCCTTCCCGCTCCTCTACTACAGCCAACCAATCTCCACGGTCTTTCCATCTTCGAAAGCCTAGCCGCCTCAGATCGTCCTCAACATCCTCCAGCCATCTGATCAGAGGGCGCCCTCTACTTATTTTTTCATCCGGCTTCTCATACAGCATCTTCTTTGGTATTATTTGGTCTGGCATTCTTTCCACATTCATCGTAAAAAAAAAAACGAAAAAAAAAAACGACTATTTCTTGATAAAAACAATAAATAAACTTCTTTTCTGCTTAAACAAAAAAGAAATATATGTATTTTTAAAAAGATAAAATTCATTATTGAAAAAAAAAAAAAACGAACAAAATCCGAAAATGTTTCAGTGAAAGTGAAAACTAAATTTCTCATCTAATTAAATTTTTTTTATTAGCGTTACCATAGCGGGTTCCTACTTACTAATAATATTTAAAAATAGACAGTCTTTTTTATTAAAACAATACTCTAATTCCCTGATTAAAAAATAAAGTAATTAGTTTTCAATCCATTATAAAGTGAATACCAACAGATACGTCCCCTCTACAGATACGCCATTTAATGTAAGTGGTTGTTTTAAGTCGTATTATCACAGCTAACAATTTATTTATTTTGAGAAAATAGTTATAAAAGTATTAGCAAAAATTTTATAATATGATTTGGCTCATATTAAGACTTTGTGTTTGTTACATAATCTAAGGCACTAAAATAAAAAACAATTTAAATCCGTTTCATATTATGAAATAAAATTGAAGAGAAAAAACAATGTATATCTATGACTAAAATTTATTCTAGATAAGAACTTTTTGATAACTTTTTAACTATTCCATATTTCGCCTTTTTTTACTTTTCTGTTTTATATTTTCTGGTCCGTTTCATTTTTTTTTTATGTTGCCAACATGTTTTTCTTCTGTATTAATATTTTGCAGTCTTTTTCATTTTATGATGCGGTAGTTAGGTTGTCAAGTGGTAACCCAATATAGGAGAGATGAGCGGAGCTAATAGAGAATCAACGAGCCTTGCGCCACTCCCATAATGATGATTCATTACTCCAACATTGAGTCACACTTTATTTTAACCCTACCATCAATAACTCTAACTATTGACAATTATTATCAACTCGAAATGTATCTGCTTCTAGATAACTTATATGCAAATTATTCGTTTCGAAATATTATTTCCTCGCACAAGATACTGAACCCAAGATCCTTCTTCAGTTGTGGGACAGCTATTTCTTATTTTCTTTTGTATAATAAATGATCTGTGAGAAAAAGAAAACTCAAATGTTAAAAGTAATTATTAATGATATATGATGATTGTTGACTGTTGAAGATATATTGAAGAGAAGTTAGTTGGGGTTTTCATTCAATGGAAATAAAAAGTAATAATAAATAAATGTGCCGATGTTTCGGCCTAAGTTTTAGGCCCTCGTCTAGGCTAAGAAAATACAAGATAACATATAGATATTGAGAAAATAGTAGACAGTAATAGTAATAATTAGCTGACCCTTGTAAATATTCCACACAAACCTAATATTTTTATCTGATTTTAATACATTAAGGGCTCAGCTCAACTTCAATTCAATAATGTTTGATACATATATTGATATATTTAGTAAACAATCAGTTAAAAGATGATTTAACCATTGCGTTTTCTTAAACTTGCAATTTAAATATTAGCTTTTTCCTTCATTAGATTATCATAAATTAACAAAAGCTTCTAAATATTGCTTTAAACATCTGATGACAACAAAACAAAAAAGGCTCAAATTCTCAATGAGAAATAGTTAATGCAATCAGGATGTATATTACTTTAAAAAAAAAAAAATCGAAAGTGTATTTTTAAAATGATAAACTTCAATAATAAAGATCTAAAAGAAAAAGCTAAAATAATTGAAGAACTTTGACATACATTCCAAGAAGTATTTTAAGGAAGACAAATTTATCATAAATAAAAATAAAATTAAGAATTTAATTAATTAAAAAGAATAAAATGTTTTGAAATTAAAACAATAATTACTAATTGATGCATGACATATTATTCCTCGAAAAAAAAGGGGCAATTCCCAAAATTTGAAATTCCCTTATGCAACAGAACCGTTGCAGTACTACAAATACTAAATGTTCAGAACGCTATAACTCTGCACCAAATCGTCCGATTTCGATGATTGTTTTTACTTTTCGTACTTTTCAACTTAGTTGCGAATTATGAATTTATTTGTAACGTTTCCATTCGTTGGAGACGGCTCCTTCATATGGTTTTAAACTTCCCACTTTTACATTTATTTTTATTTAAGTACTCGTATAAAATCAGGAATCAAAATTACGATTCGCGCATTCTACGTGATATTCCCTTTCTATTGATACTTCATTCGTCATGATCCATCACTCCTGAGAGCCGGAAAAGGGATATATATTTCAGAAATAATATATAAGAACATACCTAGGTAAAAAATTATAGTCAAATAATATGTAGTTAGTTAAACTTAACATTAATAATTATGGTATATATATTATATATAATTTAACGAAGCATAAAGTAAAGGTATCAAAGCTAGGACTTAATAAATAGCAATAGTAAAGATATAATACACACACATATATATATATATATATATATATATATATATATATATATATATATATATATATATATATATTATGTATTGTATATATATATATATATATATATATATAAAAGATAACGGTAACAAAGTAAAAGATTTATGAAATGGTGAAACAAATATAAGAAGTTATCAAATAAAGGTAATATAGTGATGAAGAACTGAAATTAACGAAGTATCTACATTTATTCTTGATATTTTTTTTTAACTTTCTGTTCGTATTTTTATTTGAATGAAATCGAATTGGGCGAAATTTTTGTAATGTTTATTTACTCACAGTAAATTTTGAAGCTCATGAAATTCTATTTGTAAGTATCAACGAGGATTGAACGTGAAAACGCTGCAAATTATTATTCTATGGTTTATTGTCATAAAAAAAATTGATTACTTAGGATTCCTAAATAAAATAATATTGTTCGACTAATTTTATAAATTAAAATCAGACAATTTCCTCCTTTTTTCCATCATCTTCTTACCAATTACATAACTAATGAGTAAAACAATAATCTGTTTCTGAAATATATATAGATTCTTTTTTATATTAGTGTCATAGAATATTTTGTTATCGAATAAGGATATATTTTTTGAAAATTGCAGATTTAATTATATCTAGTTGTATAAATTATGTAATTACTTGTACTTCTGTAATCTTATCTTGGTAACATTGTTTTCGATAAGGTTTTTTTTTCCGTTTGCACTGAAATAATTTACAAGAAAGTTCAACATTATAATTTTTGAATCATTATTTTTATGGAATTTTAATTTATTCGGATATTTTTAGTTAAAAACGCAAATATTTTTTGTTAAATATCTAATAAATATATTTTCATCTACATTAATGATCTTGATCATACTTTTTTATAATAATCAAATAATTGTTGGTATGTTAATATCTCATTTATTAATGATCTCATTATTAATAGTGAGGCTTATTATATTTTATATATAAAGGTTTTTTTATTTTGAAGCATTTACTGTGTTTAAAAATAAGTTTGGAATTCATAAAAACCTTTTTAAAATTTCAATTCCATCAAAAATGTGTTTATGACTTTTTAAGATTAATATTTATATACTTTAATTTATGTATTTAAATATGGTAGTGTTTCAGTCTTATCTCCTTATTTAATTATGATTTTTCATTGTTTAAATTTACAAGTTTGGTTTATCAGTATTATTTTTGCTATCAGTATTGTATTTGTATTATTCAGTCAGTATTATTTTTATTTGTATCCAAGTTGTTAGTAATTTTTATCATATTTTTTTGTAGCCCTGATAGGGATAAAACGTTGGCACATATCAGACTAATTTTTTTAATAATGAATTCAGCTCTTTCAAAAATGAACTTAATGACTTTTTGTAATAAATAAGTGAAATGCAATATTTATATATTTTAATTTATCTTAAATATTGTTGTAGTTTAATCATTTCTACTTTACATTTACAAGTTCGTTTTATCTTTATTCTTATTTTATATTTTCATATTGATTGCTATCTTCTTGTTTTTATTTTATTCTGTTTTTCTTACTCATTGATATTATGTTTTTTTACTTAGCCCTGATGAAGTACTAAAACTTGGACCAAAACCTTGACACTAATTAGAATAAGTTTTGTTATTTTAATTTATTTTTTCATCACTGACCTCACCCCAAACACCAATAATTAAAACAAGTATTGAATTTGTAGAATTTATTGTTCTATATATATATATATATATATATATATATATATATATATATATATATATATATATTCTCCTAGTCTCTTAATATTTCTAGCTACCATTGTTTTGTTTTTTTAAATTCGTTCGTAAAGCAGTTGCTTTATTTTTGACCAATGGACTTGTTTTTTCAGATCTACTTTAAAGCCCTACTGCATTAGTAACCCTCGGCGTAAATAATAGGACTGCAATGAAGTGGATTCGGTATGAGTTAAGTGTTTTGTTCGTTAGTTGCCGGCGAAAACAGTCTGGCGCCAAGGGCGGTCGATCGCGTTGGCACCAACTCTTGGAGTAATCCATAATGCCTGGCTCCTCTCACGCGATGTGGGCGCCATTAAATTGATTCTATAATTTTATAAAATAATCTTTAAAAATTATATTATTGTGAACAGGTGAAAATACTAAAATAATATGAAACTTAATTATATGTATGTATATGTATATGGTATAAATTTATCAGAACCCAATCTTACTGTAGCGTTACGATGCAAATTCTAAAAATCAAATAATAAATGATTTTTGTTCAAAAAATATAAATGAGTTGTAATAACAAAAAAAACAAGTTATTATTTTTCGAAGATTTTTTGAATAACATTTCTTTTTATTGAGTAATATAAACAGAAGCAAAATAATAATTAAATAATAATTCAAAAGTACTTACAAAAATAAATAACGTAAACATAAGTAAATTTAAAAAAAAATTAAGTATAGAAAATATATGTTTTTAATATTTGAAAAATAGTACGAAAATTAAAAAAGACGTTGAAATCCGAAATAAGTTTTCTGAGTTTTCAATAGCAGAAACAAATATTTGAAACTAGAACAATTATATAAA